ACTTTCTGTACAGTCTAATCTCTAATTGTCATACCATTCGAATTTTATATTAAAGGGGTGGTTGATTGCGATTTCACTTTTTTAACATTAGTTAGTGTGTAATGTTGCTGTTTGATCATAAACAATATCTGCAAAGTTACGAAGCTGAAAGTTCAATGCAAACGGAGATATCGTCTTTTAAAATTCTGGCAGTTTAATGCTTACAAAAACGACTGGTAAGGGACTACAATGAGTTACTTCCCAGGTCCGTTACTGTCAAGAACCCAGAATTTTACATAAACCCCGCCTCTGGGAACACACAGCAAAGGGGGCAGGGCCATGCTGCCTGCTTTAGAGAAGAGGAAGAGAAAAATAGGGGTGCACGTAAAAATCTATTCATATATGAATCGCGATTCTGTCTTCTCACGATTCTAATGGATTCCCAAGTTTCAAAATGTTCTAAAGCAGCGTTCTCATCCAGTTCCTGGCCTCGCCCTGCTCTGCATCTCTCTCTCTCTCTCCCTCTCTATCTCATTCAGATAATCAGACCAGTGAATACACTTATTTTCACATACTATAGCTATGAGAAGCGTTATACATGGACGCGCGTGCGGTTGCCGAACTGTATTAAAGCTTTAATCAGGATAAAACCGTATATTAAAAGCTAACAGAAGCAGTAGCATTTACAAATAACAGTGTATCTAAAAGTATGAGACCACAACAAACAAACATCTTAGGCCTACCATTAAAAGCCGTGCTTGCACAGGTTCTGCGCGATCCTCTTCACTAATATCCTCTGCTTCTCGATCGGGCTCAAATTGATAAGCAATATAGACGACGTCATTGTTTACAATACAATCGGAGCACATGCCGCTATGTTGAGGGGTGGGACCTTAGACGCACGCTAGAGGCAGTTTAGCCAATCACAACACACTGGACCAGCTAATCAATCAGACCCCATCGTGTATTTCTGAGGGAGGGGCTTCATAAAAGCAGGAAATGAGCAGCACATTCAGAGGAGAAGGGGCAGAGCCTTGTGGAATAAAGGTAAATTATGTGAAAAATAATGCGTTTTTTAACAAACGAAGCATTAACACATGTTAGACTGCACCCCATAAACACAATCAAGCCTATAAAAAAACCAGTCAACCACCCCTTTAAGAAATTCTTTTAACCCAAAAAGCAAATTTATGCTCCCTTCGAAGTGGTTGTCTTTAAAATACAGATCTTGTGGTAATCCCAGGCTATCTGTAATCAGAAGCACATTTAAAACCGGAATATAATTTACAATCTGCCATCAAAATGATAAATTTAATTATTCTAGCTGCTGTGAGAAAAGGCTATAAACGATCCGCCACCTGCAGGATCCTCACATGCAATAGCCTAGTAGCCGGAACAACTTCTTTATGTTTACAGATGTGACGTAATGACGCAGCGGCATGCTCGAATTTCCTGTGAAAACCTACCCGTACCACTCAAATTAGAAAACATTATTATAAACTAACCGTTGTTAATCGGGCTAAAGTAAGGCGATAGTTTCGAACACTGGCAGGTTATGTATGAGAAAAGGCTATAAACGATCCGCCACCTGCAGGATCCTCACATGCGATAGCCTAGTAGCCGGAACAACTTCTTTATGTTTACAGATGTGACGTAATGACGCAGCGGCATGCTCGAATTTCCTGTGAAAACCTACCTGTACCACTAAATTAGAAACATTGTTATAAGCTAACCGTTGTGAATCGGGCTAAAGTAAGGCGATAGTTTTGAACACTGGCTGGTTATGTACTTGCTCAAATGTTGATTTCGGATCAATTTTAACCAAAAAAAGTTACGGACTGCAGCTTTAATTCGGCCGAAATACATAATAAATGAAACCGTTTTGATGCTATATTATTGATTGCTTATGTTGCTAAGGGTGTTGCTCAGTGATACACAGAACCTTTGGGTGAAGAGGTCATAGCCGTGCTGTATCGTGAATAAAACACCGCTGCTGACCAATCAGAATTGAGGAATGGAACTAACCGTTTTATAAACTTCATTAAATAAATATCAAACAGTTAATTCTACTGAAATACATAATACACGGAACAGTTTTAATGCTATATTATTGATTGTTTATGTTGCTAAGGGTGGTTGCTAAGGGTGTTGCTCAGTGATACACAGAACAGTTGGGTGAAGTGGTCATAGCTGTGCTTTATCGTGAATAAATCACAGCTGCTGACCAATCAGAATCCAGGACTGGAACTAACCTTTTGAGCAGTGTAGAGTAGCGTTTGTTGTTTGTCGTTTCACCGATCACAAATACAGACATGGTTTTATGTTTACGCGGTTTCCGTCACATGCTTGAGGTATTCGGCCAATCATAACGCACTGGATAGCTGGCCAATCACAGCACACCTCGCTTTT